ATTGTTTATTTCTCTTCGACTTCTTTTGTTGGAAAACAAATACAACATCAAATATTTGTTAAGTACAGTTTGACGGTGACTAATGAGAAATATGAAAAATCCTGGTTGGTTGGAAAGTGACGACTATTACAAAATTGGGTAAACCTTGGCTGATTAGAAAACGGTGACTCTTGCAAGATGTGGTAAATCTTGGCTGATTGGAAAATGGTAATTCTTGCAAAATGTGGCAAACCATGGCTGACTGGAAAATGGCGATTCTTGCAAAATGTGGTAAAACTTGACTGCTTAGAAAGCAGTGACTCTTATAAAACGGGGTAAACCTTGGATGATTGAAAAGTAGTGACTCTTATAAAATATCGTAAGCATAGACTAATTGAAAGTAATGATTTATAGGAAATAAACTTTATTTATTGGAACTTTGAGGATTTATAGATAAGGATAAGGATAAGGTTCATCTGATCTCCAGTAACTCGTCAAAAAGTAATAATTATTAAAGGGTCAAATATAAGTAAGAAAAATTCGAAATAAAAAAATTTGTAATTTTCTGCCAATACATACTTTGAATTTAATGTAAATAGTTTTTTCTATGTTATTACCTGTTCTCTAAAAATGATTCTAGAACAAAACAGTATTTTACTCAAAGCCGTACAATGAGCTATCAGACTGCCAGTTGGTGAAGCCAATATTTGGACTCTAGTCATTGGTCACTTCCTTACGTATCGCTTCTAAACTTTGATTGATGTTTTAAACTTTTCGTCAGATTATTGTAAACTTTTCGACGTGAAAAAAACAACAACAATCTATATAAACATTTTTTTTCTAGTTCTATTTGCTATTGTACTTTTTGCAACAATTATGTTTTATCACCTATAATTCCTGTTGTGATACGATTTGAAAATGTGTTAACAGTTTCTATTTAGTAATCTGGATTTTTTGATTTATTTTGATTAATTTCATTCTTATTCACTAAGCTGTTAGATAAACTTTGGTAACGAGCATCTGCGTTTTAATATATTTGCAGCGAAGTTTAAATAAACAGTTCTTTTTTCAGTAGGATCGAACTTCTCATCATACCTTTTACTTAAAAAATCAATTACCTCTAGTTTTGTTCTCAGGACTTCAACCAGCGACTGAACTAAACATTCCTTTGCAAATGAAGAATCGTGCATTGGCTTCATGTAGGTACCGAAACCTTCGCGTTCCCCATTACCAACATAGACGGAAACAATGATTTATGGTTGTCATGGTTATTTGTTTCTAGAGGATGCTGAATTATAGATGTGTGACCACTGAGGAACCAAATTTTCAGGAATGCTATAAACATACTGACGTTTTGAGAAAACAACAACTGCGTTTGAAACGTTTAAACGACCAGGATATGAAAGCAGTAATGAAAACGTAACGTTAGGTTTATACCTGAATGTTATGTTCATATATGTATTACATTAACTCGCTTTTAACAAACTGAAAATGAGGCATACCTTCATATATACATATACATATATAATTACTTAGAAATCATCACAATGAATTCGTGGTAGTTTATTTGTTCAAACCTCTGCACTGGGCTCAAAATTTAAGTATTGTATATTTTACTGTGACTAAGTTTACTGTTAGCTTCTGAAACTTAATGTGCCGAACAATATATTTAATATCACTATAACGTACTGGTCGTGACCTAGTTGTTAGCGTGCCTAGAGTATGAATTCAAGGTTCTGTAATTCGCGTCCTGTTTTCACAGAATCGCGTTCCACACTTTGAGGCTGCTACAAGTGTAACGGTCAAATCACACTGTTACGTCAGTGAAGAATAGCCCAACATTTGGGTAGCTGCCTTCCCTCTAGTCTATCAGTTTAAAATTGGGGACTGCTATCCACAGATAATACTTGTGAAGCTAAAAACGAAAATGCTAAACAACAACATAATACAATGTTTTTACTGTTTAACGGTAAATATCTATAGAATCACAGATGTTGTGTGCGGATGTACAACAACAACAGAAGCATTAATGCAATTTACCTAAAACGTAAATCGTTAACTCGAAGGGCGCGAAGCTAGAACTCTCGGATTCACTGCGCGGGTACGCTGATTACGAGGCCTTTGATTACCATTTTTAGTACTAAAAACAGTCAGATATATTGTTATATACAAGACATCTTGAAAAGGAAATCACAGACTCTGTTGAGAAATAGTGCAGCAAAAAAAAAAAAAATTGTTAGTTTTTAAAAAGTAGTTTTCAGGAAATGGTTAATACTTGTGTTGGTTCAACCAACAACGGTACAGATTAAACAGACTCGCGTGTTGGTGAACCAACAACGGTACAGATTAAACAGACTCGTATGTTGATTGACCGACAATGGTATAGTCTAACTGATATTGTTGTCAGCCTTAGAAACAGCAGTCACATACTCTTTTTTTTCCTTTAAGATATATTATGACAATCTTTTTGCTGATATCTATCTATTTCCATTGAGTCACAAGTAATTAGGAAATTTTGCTCACTTATCAATGGCTTGACCCTCTTTGTTCCATACTGATGATGACAAAAGCTTGTCAAAACGTTGTACATTTATAATAAACTTTCTTTCATTACCCATTTAAGCCATCTCCAAACTTTAATGTCAAATCCAATTGTATATTTTCAATGTCATCTCTCGAAACGAAAATCTTAACTTCAGCCGTCAATCAATTTTTCAGTCATTGTTATTCTCTGTCCTTTATATCTCATATTATTGGACCGTTCAAAGATAAATAGTTAAGCTCATTAATACGTTAACTTTTCTCTAGTATATGTACAAAGAGTTTAAAGAAAACGAACATTAGGGAAACTTTTACCGCCAGTTTCCTATGTCGTTAAACTTCTTAATCTTCTAGTTATCCTCTGATCTCATTAACAACATTGTCGTAACCCTCCCCCACCGCGACTTCAGTATGTTGGAAGCAGCTTTGGGTATAGAGTTCAATGATCTTGAGATTACCAAAGAGCCAATGTTGTCTCCTGTGTGAAAAATGTTCTCTTAGTTTATACTTGAACAGATTACCCGGAAACTAGAAACCTATTTAGAAGCTGAACTCAGGTGTTATTTTTCTTTCTATAGCCGGTGTTGCTTTTACATTTATTAACTTAACGACTCCACCTGCTGGTGTGCTTTACAGCGAGTCGGTAAACGATCTTCACTGTTATCTCAACATTAATCTTATGAAGAAGATTATCGTTTCCAATTGTCTCTACCTGTCACCTCGATTAACATGAGGCAAGCGGTAACGACTTTGTCCTCAATAAATATAAATACTCAAATATAATGAGACTGCTTTCGTCTTCAGTAAGGTGCTGTACTGTTTTAATAATCCGATATCTAAGCGTGAAAGCAAATTTGATATCGTGTAACGCATGTATTCTATTAAACTCGACAAACGAGCTTTTCATTCTTCATAGTTTGTTGTTGTTGGTTGTTTTTTTTTAAGCGTAAAACTACAAAATAGACTGTCTGCCTCTGTCCGCTGTAGGGAGTCGAGTCCCGGATTTTAGTAAGTCTGGAGACTTACCGCTGACTTCATGGTGAAACAGATTTGTGTGTTGGTTTCACTAAGAACGGTACGGGCTAAACAGATTATAATTTTCATATATTCTGAAGAAGTTGTGTTAATTAGAAACTAAACGCATCTATGTTTTTAACTTTAGGACTTTTCGTATCAACGCATTTATTTATTTGCGTAGACTAATTGTAACTAGAGCTCTCGTGCATCAAAATTGCTTCTAAATATATATATTCAGGGGGAATGTATGAGGTTTAAATTTAAAAACAACAGCAAAAGAAACAAACCTATTTAGAACGTGTATTTTTTAAAGCTTGTTCAGGGGGCGAAGATGAAAGGTCTACCTTTCAAACACGAGTAGGTTGTCTGATTTCTTGGATTTACTTTTTATCCTATATGTCTCCTAAGTATTTTTAATATTTGCTTATTCTTATATTTACAACTTCGTTACTAAGAGGCTTCTGTCACAGTTGTGTTACAAGTAGAACTCTACAAAGTTGTTTTAATCTTAACCACAAATATGCTATGAAATTTCCATTGAACACATGTATTTTGCACTGGATTAATACACCATTACCGAATTATTCAAGTTCCGAAGAACGTTAGTGCTTTTATTTTTTAAAGAAACATATAGCGTATAATACGCGTGCTTTGATACAATATAACTGACAATAATGACAGTTAACATTGTTCGTCAGATGAATTAAGGAGTGAACAGGAGAGAGAAAAAACTTATCTACAAAGTGTGACAAACACGCCAATAAGATGCTCCGAGTAAATCATACCTCTGCATTTATATCTTTACGCAAAATACGGATCTGTGAAAAACGCAAAATCCACAATAGCTATGACATTGGTATTTACAAATACATGATGCTATTGTAAGCCCATAGAAGCTGACAAGCTTGCAGAAACAAAACTGTCCTCTATCTTGAGACGGCGGGGAGTCGCTCAGGGAGGGTGCATTGGTTGCTATGACTACCACAGAAAGTGCGGATTAGAAAGGTCGATTCGAGTCGCCTGAAGCAAGACATAACCTGTAATCAAATCCACGAGGCCTTACCTTAAACTGGCTGAAATTTATGTGGCCTCAAAGCATTCAAACTATCGGGAAAATTGTATGTGAACAGTCTTTAGCGAGAAAATGCACATGATCGTTAACCACTAACTACCAAATATTAAACACCAGGATCGTTTAGATCGACCTACATATACTTAAATTGATTTCACTAGCAATATTAAGCGGAAACCCTTTAATTATACGTGTCGAACTGACGTACACACTGTTGACTAGGCTTTTTCCATGTGGCAGCTATAAAATGTATCCCCGCCCCTTTGTTTGGCAAGCCTTCCTCTCCACGCGCTCTATCTTACCTCCATTCATTCACATTAGTGCACACAAATCTTGGTGAGGCACCACAGCCTGGTTGGATCAACATGTAGCCTGACAGACCGTGAAATCTCGCGTTTTTGTACTAGCATATTTACGCTCTAAATTTTGTGGTATGTTCAGAATTTTCGTAAATACCCGTGTTGATCCGTCGATGATCAGAATTATATTATGAGAGGACCCTAGGAAGTGTTATTTTGTCACTTCCTAAGGAAGTTGTGCATGACGTCATCAAGAACGTGTCAATGACGTATATTTTCATAAGAGAGAATATTGCTGTACAACTTGTGAAAATAGTTTGTTTTTTAAAGTTACAGTCACTGGCCCGTCTTCTATCAAATTTGGAAGGAATAAAACTTAAGTACTGAGAACTACAAAGAGTATGCTGGAAGCTATTGTGAGTATTTTTCTTTACATATGTAGAGATATGAATTATCCTAATATAACACACTTGAAAAGTATTTTATTATAGTAACTGTAAATCACTAGATATACACGTATGTCTTATTATTTGAAAAGATTACTCATTGTTATGATTCAAGACAGTTTGTTTTTCCTATTTACACTAGCGACAATAATTATAACTTCAGTATATAACACTCCATTTAAAACTTTGCAAAAAATTTCACTTCGGCAACAAATCAATAGTTCTGAAAAATTTAAAAGTGTGAAAACTAAACAAATAACGTTTTATTTTCGCTCAATGCCACACGTTATATTACAATATAACTACAGAACCATACAACATTGTCTACCCTATACAAAAACATGTAGTACAGGACATATACTACCATATACTTTATAAAACCATATTGTAATACGAAACATATAATACTCTACATTCTAGTAAACCACAACGAACATATAATACTGTAAACATGGTAAATCCATATCATCAGTATAGAAACGCATAATATTGTACGTTCTGTGTATTCATAAGAATAGGGACATAATTATAATATTATGCATGCTTTGTAAGAATTAGTAAGCATAATTAGCCAGTAGGGTTTACCTTTTGAATTATTTTTTCAATTAATAGTTTGTTGATAACGTTGAAAAAACACATTTCTATTTGTTTCTACATGATTTAAATTATACAAACAATGACGGTATTTTAGCGCCACTGAATTGTAAAATAACAGTCGTCCTAAATTGGTCAGTGTGTATATAAACTACGTATTTACTAGGTAATATAACATTCTACATCTCGTGTATCTTTGCAATATAAGTACATTACACATTCTACAGCATAATATACATTCTACATAATTACACCTGACATAATAAATATTGTATTGTTAAAAGCAAGAGTACAGAAACACAGAGTATTGAATATCCCGTGTTTTCACAATAAAAGAACAAAATTTTACAATATTTTCCATTCTATACGTAATATCTTACGAAAACAAGCATATAACATTATAGCGTATTTTCTTACAATATACATACACATGGAAGATATAGCATTTTATGTGAGATCTTCGTGTCACAGCAATAGAGATGCATACCACATATCACTAAATATGTCAAGATGTATACATATAACACCCTACATCATACATAAACCTATTACGGTAACAGGAACATATAACACTGTATTGTTATGTCACAACATACGCAAGAAACACGTAAGACTGCACTGTTTATATTTCTCACAGTAGAAGAGAAGAGATATATGTATCACTATAGATACTACATAGTCGCAACGTACCAATGAATATACGTAACACCATATCCTGTGTACACAGAAACAAGTTATGCAATGACAACATTGTTTTTCTTAAGGATGAATCAAGTAAGTGTTGTTGAAATATACCAGCCTGATGAAAGTGTATCAGCCTAGAATAAAGACTGATGAAAATGTATCAGCCTAGGATGAACAGTAATTAAAGTATACCAGCCTAGGATAAACAGTAAAAAGTCTTCAGGTCTAGGATAAAGGCTGATGAAAGTACACCAGCCTAGGATAAAAAAAGACTGGTGAAAGTATACCAGCCTAGGACAAGTAGTGGTGAAAGCTGAGGATAAAACTAATGAAATTAAACTAACTGAAGATAGAGAATGATGAAAATGTACTAGTTGAGGATAAATACTGAAAACGTATACAAGCCAACAGTAAAGAGTAGAGAAAGTACACTAGACGAGGAAAAAAAACGATGAAAGTATATTAGCTGAGAATAAAGACTGACAAAAGTATACCTGAGGATAAAGACTGATTAAAGTATATTAGCTGAGAATAAAGACTGACAAGAGTATACCTGAGGATAAAGACTGATTAAAGTATATTCCTGAGGATAAAGGCTGATGAAAGTATACTAGTCGACTATAAAAACTAATGAAAGTTCCTAGCTGAAGATAAAGACTAATGAACATATATTGCCTGAGGATAAAGGCTGATGAAAGTATACTAGCCGATGACAAAGACTAGTGATAGTATTAGGTCATCA